CGAGCGGCTCGCATAGACTATCAGGTAAGGCTAAGGAATCGAAACGGACGTCGCGAGCCGAGATGACATCTGCTACAACTTGAAGCGCGATGTTTTGCCAGAGTTCAACGGGCACAGTTGTCAGCGACATGGTGGTTGTCACCAGAGTTGTGATTGGCAAATGAGTACCAGATCATATCGCGATGATGTAAATCGGCAATCTCCGCCGATTTACGGAAATCACCGTCAGCGGGCAGAACAACAACAAAAATTCATGACTACGGAAATGGCCGGGACCGAACCCGCCCGCTGCGCCTAATTAAGAATCACCAGGGGACGACTGGTGATTTTGCATTGAACACCGAGGCTGTCAATGATTGTCCGAACTTCATCCGTTACAGACGGTGAGCACGGCTGGTACCACCAGAGCCATGGGTTCCTGGTCATTAAGATCGCCGAGCCTAATGGCAACCATTCTTCTGACTTGGGCAGGTTGCCCCTAGACATCACCCGGTTCGTACACAGTGCCGGTCTTCATCATTGTAGCGAACTGAGAATTGAACTACAGTCGTTCAGTCGGCCTGGCAATCTCTCATCCCCATGGGTTTCAGTCACAGTGCAATGCCACCCAGAGCCACCGTGAGACCTCGCTTCGCATATATCTGTAAGCGACATATTGTATTCGCTCGGGCATGCAGTAACTCTCACGCTAGGGCCTTGATTGCGTTGAGTAAAAAAAACGAGCAGAGGACAATGCCACTCGGGAGCCGGGAATCGAACCCGTGGGGATCATGAAGATTATAGCGTCACAACCAGTCTGCCAAGAACCCGTGCGGTTACTACAGACGTTCCTCAACTAGTGCAGACGACAATTTACATATCTGAGACGTTGTGCTAGGGCAAACACTGAGAGTGAACGTCTTTTTTGAACACAGAGGTTTGCAAGGACACGAAGAACTCGTGAAGGTCCTAATGCAAGGTGCCGGGTGAGTTGCATGGCCAAATACTGCCTGGTGATCTGCATGAACACCGGGCCCCTTTGACCGCCGGTGACACAGATGAATCTTCCTGCCCCGCAGCATTCGCCAGTTGCGCTAGTCGCCGTTGTCCCAATCGTATCGGATCTGTCCCTGATAGAACGCCGGATCTCTCTGGCGAAGTCGAGAGAGCGGACCTGTTGCCCCCGGCGATATGACTGACGCTAGAAATGACCGGTCTGCGGCGGTGCTGCGCTGGTCAACTGTCAAAGTTATCACCGCCGTCCTGGCGTTGCGGAGGTCACGCTCGCTGCGGTGAACGGAACAATGGTTCTGATTTGTAAGAAGTACCCAAGATATCACCGGAATCGTTGATAGGGACCGTCTTCGTTCTCCTGGCGATTTTCACCATCCAGCATCCACCGCTTTGGTGATATGTCATTTTTGCTGAGAGGATCCCGAGGTCTGCTCAGCTTTCCAGTTGCACCAGCAGGGAACTCACCTACGGAGATGCAAGGTGAAGTTATACAGGAGACTGCAAAGTCATTGAAGATCACAGCCACTGTTGCCTCATGTCAATTGCAAGCGAGGGTTGTGCAGACCACTGCCAATGCTACAGCCCAAGCCCACTTTGAGTCTTTGCCACGATATATGTAAAATCATAATGTATGCGTGGTGATATGTGTACTGTAGTAATGATCGGTAGCTACCTACGTGGGAAAGAGGGTTGCACAGTCCTCAGTACGGCCAAGGGCTATCAATATAAAGTATCCCAGGCCAATCAATATGGAACGGTGTGTGTGACACTGCCATCAGATTGGTTACAATGATCAGATGAACATGTCAGACATCGCCTACAGCTGAAGGGGTTTTCCATCTCCCACGATTTCCGGTATAATGATACCAGCAATATCCCCAGCCAGGGGAAGCCAGAGACCTGCACCGGCAGTAACCCCCAGCTGCTTTTTCAGACATAATGATTATATATATATATATATATATATACTGCTCGGTGATTACC